CATAATGAATATTATACGAATAGAATAGAATAATGTATGTGATTGTATTAATAAGTAACGGAGGAATTCCCAATATGTTTTTATAATTTATTTTAAAAATAAGAAAACAACAAGTTATTATCATGAAAGAAAAAAAAAGTGATTACAAAATGAAAATATATATTAATATATATATATATTTTGTTGCCTTGAGATATAAACATAAATTTCACTGAACTTTAAATATAAATTATTTAAGTATTTAAATATATAATAGCGCACATGCAACAATTAATATAAATAAATTAAAATTATTCACTTTATAAAAAATTATATCTGATATATTATAGTATTTAGTAATTTTATGGATCTATTATTAATAATTATAATACATTTCACATTTGTCTTAAGACTTATCTTTGGCTTATATTCCATTTATTAAAAAACATTTTTGGTTCATTTTATATATTTATAAATTTATTTTTCCAAAAATGTATAAATTATAATGAATAGATTTATAAAAAATATCAACGTTTACATTCTTTCTTTCAAATTACTGTTTAAGATATATGCATACATTTTTAAGGGTCAGGGAGTGGGGGGAGGACTAAGGTTCTAACAATATTATATGACAAATAAAAGTATTAATTGAATATCTATTAACAACCCTAGGTCAGATTCAGATATAATTCCTGTAGTAATACCGACTACTAATTATAAACAATACGACTACTAATTTATATTTCAATTTATTTCTAACATCAAATTTATATTAATTAATTTTCGAATATTCTATTCTATTTTTATATATAATATCTATAAATAATATTTTACTAATTTATTACATTTCCTTCAAACATTTTAAAGTTAGATTTCTTCAATAAACCTCTTTGTAGGTTTACGGTTTCTTGATGAACAACGTAATGTGGTATTTGTATTTGTGTTTGTATTTGCTTCATTCACTGGCACAACCATTTCTGTAACTTCCAAAGAACTTTCATGATTTAAAATAACTAAACGATTTCTTAACTGATCTGCATGCTTCCGTAATGTTTTCCCGGAAGATTCAACAATATAAGAATAAAGTCCTATTCTTTCTTTAATTACTCCCTCTCTCCAACCATTGGTATTTTCATTATTTAACCATATAGGTTGTGAGATTTCAAATTCTCTTTCCTTTGAAGGTAAATCATGGTGAAGGCTTTGTTTATCATTGGCCCTTACTATTTCGTGTTCGGCATTTGGTCGGATCCAATCCAGACTTGTTTTCAATTGCCTCCCAAACATAATTTTAGAGATCTCCCTGTGGAGCTATGCTCTCCCAATCGACAGGTTGTTAAAACCTGTGTCATAGCTTCTTCGGGATCGCTAATTGAATCTCTCGGCGCATAATATGGACCTTTCAAAGTTCGTACTGTACGTTCAGCTAATCCATTAGTTTTTGGATGATAGGGTACCGAACGTATATGACGTATGTTATTTAAATCACAATACCTACGGAATTCCCCAGATAAGAATTGTGGTCCATTGTCTGACACAATGTACTTGGGTATTCCAAACCTAGAAAACCATTTTTTTAGTCGTTTTATCATAGCAGCAGCAGAGGTATTTTGCAGTAGATCAACTTCTAACCATTTGGAGTAGGAATCGACACCTATTAGCCAATATCGCGAATCTACTGGTTCAGCAAAATCAATATGGATTCGCTCCCAAGATTCCTTCCCAACAGTCCAAGAATATAGAGGTACTTCTTGAATACTAGGTCTATTTTTCTGGCATCCAGAACATATTTTGATAAAATTTTCTATATCAACATCACATCTGGGCCACCAGCAATACAATCTAAAAATAGATTTCATTATATTTTCCCCAAGATGTCCCCGGTGAATCATTCCTAACACTGCATTTCTTAATTTATTAGGAATAACCAATCTCCCATTCCATTCTATAATATCACGATCGACAGAAAGCTCTTCCCGTCTATTATAAAAATTAACTATTTCTTTATCTTTATGACGATCAAAGTTCCGCCAACTTTGATGAATATGTATTGCTACTTTTTTTAATATTAAATCTTGCTTCGACTCTTTTCGTAGAATATTTTCTGACAATTGCATATCATCCAAATTAATACTTCGAATATCCAAAGCATGTTTAGAATCTTGATTCTCTTCCGTGTCTAATATCGGAAGCCTTGATAATGCGTCGGCGATTACATTTTTATTACCAGGTCTATATTCTATTTTAAAATCATAAGAAGCCATCTTCCAGACCCAACGTGTCAAACGATTATTAGAAATTTTAGGTAAATCGCGTTTTTCCCCAAATAATCGCTCTAATGGTTTATGATCAGTTCGAAGTAAAAATTTTCTACCATAAATAAATGAATGAAATTTTTCAATACCAAATAAAAGTGCTCGAGCTTCTATCAATCGGAGCGTAGTGTTTCTCTGATTCTAATAAAGTAAGTGACGCGAATGAAATAGGTTTTGTCCTTCCGTCTACTAATTGATGTACCAACACAGCCCCTAATCCTGAATCAGATGCGTCGCATTCCAAAATTATAGGCAACTGCTCCTTATAAGGAATTAACGTTTCCTCGGATGACAATAATTTCTTAACCTCATCGAAGGAATTTTGTTCATCTTTCGACCACTGCCAAGGTACTTTCACGCTCGTTAATCTATGTAATAGCGCCGCTTTAGAATGTAGATTGCGAATAAAACGTTCATGATAATTAACTAGTCTTAGAAAAGATCTAAGTTGTTGTATATTTTTAGGTTTTGGTGCATTTCGGATAGCTTTCACCTTTTCCGGGTTAGGATGTATACTGAATTTATCAATTATCACCCCTAAAAATGAAACCGATTTTTGTAAAAATCTCACTTTTGTTAATTTCGCCTTAAGACCTGCTGCATGTAATCTGTCTAACACTATTCGCAAATTATTTAAGTGCTCCTCATCATTTCGACCAGAAATAATTACGTCATCTAAATAGACACCAGTCATTTGGCAATCTTTTAGTAACTCATCCATATATCTTTGAAATATAGTTGGTGCACTTGCCAATCCAAAGAAATAGTCGGTAACGGAAATAGCCCTTATGAGTCACTATCGTTAGTAGTTCCTGGGATTTCGATTCTACTTCCATCTGTAAATACGCATCTTTCAGATCTATCACGGTAAATTTATCACCACCTTGGATTTTCTCTAACAAATCGTCTAAGGTAGGAATAACATGATGGTCATATAATAAACACGGATTGAGTGTAACTTTGAAATCAGCACAAATTCGAATATCGCCATTACTCTTGCGTACATTTACGGTTGGCGTTGACCACTGTACCCTGGTTATAGTCGAATCAATCTTTTCGATAATTCATGCAGCTACTAATCGGTCTAATTCCATTTCAATTGCTTTGCGAAGTGGAAATGGTACCCTACGGGCTGGAAACGATCTTGGTACAGCGGTATCCTTTAAATGTATTCGCATTGCAAAATCACGTATATGTCCCATCTTATCATCAAAATTTCTTGATGTTTATTAATCAAATCTCGAATTCTAGAATCTAGTGTTATGCAACATTTTTCTTTTTCAATATTGTTGACCAAATTGCGTACTTGTTTAATCATAACCTGACGAGGCATTTCTAAATTGAATGCTATAATCCATGGTAATCCGAAAAGAGGCACCCCAGTTATATTCATTATTACCACTGGTAGGGTCCTTGTCTGTGATCCAATCCTAACATTAACTTGGATCTCGCCCTTAACGTCTAACGGATGATCACCATATGCAGTCAATGGACTGGTTGGCCTAATTTTTGGTTGCCCAATACTTGTCCATATATCAATTCCTATCAATGACGCTTGTGCACCAGTGTCAAAATCAAATTCAACATCTAACCCATTTATCTCTGCAGTTAGATTTGCTCGATTCTCTCGATTTTATTGAATCTTCCAAATATTATGAATAGAATCACTTGATGACACTCTTATATAATTTAAATTCTTTAATTTACAGCAAACTGCAAAATGACCAATTTTTTTACATTTATTACATGCCGCATTTGTAGCTGGACATCTCACTTCTCGGTTATGAATAAAACCACATTTATAACATTTAAGTTTATTATAATCTTTATCATTATTATATTTGTATTTATTATCAAATGTAGTCGTCGTTTTAATTAGATGTTTATAATTATTATCATTATCATTATCATTATCATTTCTTTTTTTATTATCATTTATCTTATTAATAACAGGTATATTTATATTTGCCATTTCTTTATCTGCTCGCTCAGAAGCTAATGCCAGATCAATAATAAATTGAAAAGTCAGTACATTATTATCTCTATCAAGACCGTCGGGATATAGAGTTCTAAGATCTCTTTCCAATCCCGGTATTTCCCTGCCAACCATAAACTGATCACGTAAACGCTCGTCAAAATCATTAAGATAATGACAACGATTGCCAATTGTTCTAATTTTATCTGCAAATTCAGTTATGGTTTCAGCAAAAGCTGTTGACGTCGGTTTAAATAGTTTAAAACATATTGACTTAATTTCCTTAAAAGATAAAGTTTCGATCAAATCAGGATAACAAAAACGGTCCACCAACTCAATATTCTTATTGCCAAAAAATGTTAAAAATATATCTTTATATTGACATTCAGATGGGCTTACGTTTTTTAACCGAAAACTGACTTCCCATTGAGAAAAATATCTATGGATTGAAGTGTCCAACTCGAATTTATCAAATTTAATCGTAGATAAATCCGCTATTTTTTTTGAATCACCATTTAAGGAATTATTTTCTCTTTAAGGAATTATTATCTCCATTTAAGGAATTATTTTCTCCATTTATCTTCGCCATTTGTAGTAATACCGACTACTAATTATAAACAATACGACTACTAATTTATATTTCAATTTATTTCTAACATCAAATTTATATTAATTAATTTTCGAATATTCTATTCTATTTTTATATATAATATCTATAAATAATATTTTACTAATTTATTACAATTCCCAAAATCTCACTCTCTAAATATGTATCTATCCATATATTGCATTTTGATTTTTTAAATTTTTTTTTTAAATTTTAAAGCTGTGAACCGAATTGTGATATCTTATAAAGGTAATTTCCTATTATTTTTAATTTTCTAATTACAAAAGAAATGAATTCAATTGTATTAAAGATTTTTTAAATAGAATTTTTAGATTAATATATATATTAATTTTATTTTAATTTTTGAAAAAATAAAATTATTTTTATGATTCAAATGCTTTGAATATTTTGCCTCATTATTTAATGTTTAAAAGTCAGATAATTAAAACTAATGTAAATAGTCAGGATAGGGTTGGCAGGAGGGTAAATCTCCCATGAAAAAAGCTTTCATGTATAAAGTTAGAAAAGTTTATTATCAACAAAATGGGATTGAAAAAATTTCTTATTCTACTAGATAATTTTTTTGCATTAGAATTTATCAACAAATAATTTAATTATACTAGTATTTTATGCAATCTCTTATACTTCTAGTTGATATAGAAATTGTGGAAAGTATTTTAGAACTTTAAATGATTTGGCAAATATGAAGAACATAATTAATTATCAATTGCTGAGACCAAAGCAACTGTAAATTTGATATTTCCAGAAGCCTACTTCTTAAAAATAAATTATTTTTAAGCTTTTTTTTAAAAATTTTATTGACCTAGCCCAAATTTTTATTTTTGATAATCTTTTTTAATATTTTATTTTGAATAAATTTGGATCTATTCTGCAAAGGTCTTCAAATGTAAATGGTAAATATGCACAGTAAATGAATATTAAATGCTCCTCCAACTTTTTATAAATAAATTTATTGTTAAAAATGACCCAATTCAGTACTGATATTTCATTTTTAAAATTTTTTAAACTTACCTCAGGTTTTTTAAATCATACTATTTTTTGACAAATTCTGGAGGGGTTATGTTTGTGGGCTGAATTTTGGGTCAGGTCTACAGGTCTATGATATACTCAAAACAATCCAAGGTTCAATTATTACAATCAGTAGAAGAATATTATACCTCTTTATTTCTCTCTTTTAGTGTTGATTAAAACCTTGATATAGCCAATTTATTAAACCTCAATTTTTTCCCAAAAGAGGGTCTATTTGCATTTTTGGTAAGATTTTATTTTTTGAGTAAAATATTAATTTATTGGTTTTAAAAATTCACAAGGTTTTTAAGTCCAAAAAATAAGAAGTTTTTGATATTTCAAGCAGTCTATACTAATTGAATAGTTATTTACTAACATATTAAAAATATATTTTAACTACTATATCGATTTTCACTCAAACAAATAATTGCCATTTTCTTATAAAAATTTGTATAGAAAGTATTACTTCAGAATATAAATTGAGTTGGTTATTCAAAATAGATTGCATATATTTTTTTTTACTAACAAATACCAGTTTATATGTAATTGCAATATTTCTCAAGATATTTTTGTGATTATTTCATATATTTATCATCTGAATTTTTAAATATAAAATTACATATTAGAAATTCTGTCTTTTTTTCTAATCAATAACATAAATTTCTGTACATTTTGAACATTCAGAAAATTTATATCAGATCTTTTTCTAGGGGGCAGAGGGTTGGAAAGCATCGTCCTCTGCCCCTACACTCTTTTGACAAGCCTTTGGTCAACAAATTCGATTTTTGGGACCTATCCTGGCTTAAAATTTTATTTTAGGCCAAACCTCACCAGGTCTAAAATTTGTAATTAAAAAATTTATATTAAACATTTTATAAAATAATAAAGATTATTAATTGATTTGTACTAATCCCAGTAAATTGTTATTTATCATTTTATTTTAATAAAAGAAGTGAAAATACTATTTTCTATAATATTGTATATTCTTTAAGCTTGGCTTAATTTTTTTTACTCTCAAGCCCAGCTTGGCTCAATAAGCCAGAGCAAAAATAGTTTTAGGCCAAAGCTAAACTTGCCAACTTGCAGGGCTTTACTTCACCCATTTTTTTTACCAAACTTTAGCTAGGTTGGACCTAAAATAATATAGAATAATATTAGGTTTACACTATATTTATAGTTATCTTTAAATCCCTTTACCTAAAAAATTTAAAGTAAAGTTTATATTTAAAAAAAATAATAAGTCATTTTTGTGGGAAGGATCACAAAAATTTGGCAAACTTGTTAAATATACCTATTTGATTAAGGCTATGATTTTTGGGCAGTTAATTATAGTGTTGTCAACATGTTTCATTAAATCATCACAACACTGTAATCAAAATGGACAGTATTTTTATTATCATCAATTAATTTTTTGGGCAATATTTATTAATTTTTGGGCATTAAATTTATCAAAATGGGCAGTATATAAATAATATTGAGCAGTAAAAAAAAATGTTGATTTGAAGCTAAAATTGTATTGTACATTATTTATTTGAAGTTGCTTAGTATTTGTATAAATATCTTTTTATTATTAGCTATCAAATATATTATATGAAAATTAATATATTATATATGAAAAAGCTAGCGAATTAAATAAAATATCAAAATAGTTGTGGAATTGCAGTTTTATTAAAAATAATTTTTATATCTAAATATTTAATTGAAACATACATGTTATTGTACAACAAGAGCTATTTATACTAATATCCCTTTTATTATAATTTATCAAGAATATTTTATGAAAATTAACATAAAATATTTGTAAATTAACATAAAAGTTAGAAAATTAACAAATTCCTTACAATTGATTTGTTACCAAAAACCAAAGTAAAGTCATTGTGAATGGCTTTTGCAGCAAGAGCATTATAAAATATAAAGGAAAACAACATTCCCCCTTATTAATCATTATAATAGGTTGCATTCACATTTCAGTAAAAGGGTAATAAAATTGACATTTTTTTAAAGCCTACTTCACCAATTTCTTTATCTAAAAAATTAATTTTAAAGATAACTTGCTAAAGTTATTTGTAAATAATAATTTACCTTTTAAAACTGTTAATACAAAAGATTTTTAACTGACCTTGATTGTTCTGTAAAATCAATATGCTCTTATACTCTTAAAATGCATATGTATAATACATTTGCAGGAAGAACAATTGGTAAAGGAAATAATATCCAAGAATAAAAGTCAGATTAATTTTTCATCTGACACTTGGACTAACCCAACACAAAGTAAATAACATAATTTTAAATGATGCTCCAATAAATGAAGCCCATTCAGGTGAAAATATTTTTAAAACCTTTGTTAAAATAACTAAAAATTTTAATTTGGGGAATAAAAATTTTACTATAACTTTGGATAATGCAACTAATAATAAACCTTTATTGATACATTTTCTTTAAAATATCCATTAACAAATAGGGCACATCCGATGCTGCCCATGTAAATAATTTTACTAAAGAAATTTTAAAAGTTTTAGATGCTTCTATTTTAAAACTAAGAAACATTTAAAATGATTCTAATCCTCCTAAAAAATTAAATTAATTAAAAAATATATGTAGTACTAAACTCCCTCCCCCCCTTAAATTTTTTGAAAACCTAAATTAAATTGTGAAATAAGGTGGAATTACACCTACCGATTGAAAGAGACTTATTGCTACAGCTTGCTATAACAAAATAAGTCAATTAAGTAATAAACTAATATTAAAATTCTTCAAGAAAAACAAACATCAGAGGTAAACTAATTTACAATTAGGGAATAATATTTAACATATAGGAGGATTGGGAGTTAAAACAAATATATATGGGGATAATTATCCTACTTATAATATGATTATACCTTATATTATAATTCTTGAAAACACTTAAAAAATGGAAAACCTTATTTCCATAAATCCTTTAACAATAGTTTTAAAGAAGTATATGAAATTGTTTGGCTACTATAATTTAACGGCTGTTGATGCAATAATAACCACAATATTAGATCCCAGGCTTAAATTGGAGTATTTTAAATTAATATTTGCTGATTATGATATTGATATATCCATGTTAACGGACAAATTTAAAGAGATTTATAACAGCTAAACAGGTATTTAATTTATCCCCCATTTAAATAAATATGATTTATTTTATAAGCGGATAATTATAACTCAAACAAACAGTGTGAAATAGATTTTTATCTGAGTGAGCTAAGAGCAAAGAGTGATACTGACTCATAATGTGGTGGAAGGTTAATGCATATCTAATCCCCATACTCTCGAAAATGGTAAGGGATTACTTATATATACAAGGAGCATCAACTGCTTGTGAAAGGCTTTTCTCAGTTGGAACTAATTTGTTGTCAAAAAATCGCATGTCATATAAAAGAAAAACTATTTGCCTTAAAAATTGACGTAGAATTATAAATTAAATTAATAATATACATTTTAATTTTATCTATAACTTGATTATATATTTTTTGTCACAAATTATTGATTACATATTTTTATTATTAGATTATAATAATTTTCTGTTTGAAATTAAATTTGCAAAAAAACTTTGTTAATATATTAGAGCATGATTTATTTTATTACGAAAATTCATTACAATTATCCGAATAATTCTAATTAAATTACGAATAATGCACTATTCGTCGAATTCGTTTATGAATAGGCCTATTTTGCAGTATCTATCTATAATATGAAAATAGGTTTGCACTCTAAATTTTTCCTTGGAATAAGTAATGAATGGGGTAGGTCATCATAACATTCGTAGTTGAGCCTGTGAGCTTATTGAAAATTCTAGCTCAAATTTCAACAGCAAAATATGAAACCTCTTTAATAATTCCTCATTTTTTTTTTCGCTTCAAAAAAATTTTAGAAATATTTTCTATATAATTAGTCATTTTTAATCATGTTTTGTTAAGAATTTTGAATCAATTTGCTTAAGAAATTAATTTTATCTTTATTTTTACTGTATTTATATTACTATTGTAAAAAATTAATTCAAAATTTGGCGTTTCTTTAATCAACCAACTATTTCTAATTTTTTTTTGAAACGATAAAAAAAAATGAGGAATTATTAAAGAGGCTTCATATTCTGCTGTTGAAATTTGAGTTAGAATTTTTAATAAGCTCACAGGTTCGACTACGATGACCCACCCCATTCATTACTGATCCCAAGGAAAAATTTAAAGTGCAAA